CACACACACACACACCTATAAATAACTGGCTGTTGAGCTGCAGGTGGATGTGCCCATCAGCAGGTGCCTCCTGCGTGGCAGCAGGGAGCTCGTCAAGGCGAAGGGATGCCTCTTTAACGTTGCGCTCGGCTCGAATGCGATGCCACCTGTTGTCATCCAGTGGGACGCCAGCCTTCACACGAACTTCCAACGGACCGTTACCCACATCAAAGGAGAAGAGGACCTCAGTGGAGGCTGCGTCAGGGAAGGAAGAAAATCAAGACTTACTGTACATATTCAATAAAGTCTCACTCCTCTTGTCTTCTGTATCTCCCTACAGCCTGTTCTTCAATTGTTCCACCTGTAGAAAGTCCAGATGTTGGCCAGTGCTCCGCTGTCAACACACACACACACACACACACACTCAAAAATTTGTGATCCGGCATACAATACAATATGTACAAGCTCAAGAAAAAGGACAAAAAATACAAAACAGCAGTACCTTCTTCATAGCTGAGTCAACTCACCAACAACGTTCTATTTTTGGCACAAAATTGTTGCCAACAAAACCACATTGCCCTGTTTCAAACATGCTGAACCTGTGTGGTTCAGTCATTGATTGCAAGACTATAAAGGGCCTTTCTTCCCCCTCAAACCCCTCTCGTCACTTGTTTTTTTGTCTTGTTACCCTTTTACCAACGGCCAGTCTCACTCTGAAGCCCCTATTCCTTGTGACAGTTACACCACCTGTGGAGGGAAGAATAAGAAGTGTTTTTGTGACACATGAGCTCTACTGAAACTTTGATATTCACATTAAAGTAATGTATCACTAAAGTGAAGCAAACACAAACTGACACTAGCAGCTCACAAGGACCAGTTACAATGACTCCTGGACAGCTAAACTGACAACCAGCTACAAAGATAAAGCACAACTTAAAGATGCATAACCCTTTGATATAATAAGTAGCTACATTCTGTGTGGGCACAAGCTAGAGGTAACCACATTACTGTCGGTTTCCTGCTGGGTATATAGAGAGAAATTATTCTTTGTTCTGTGACAAATGTGTGAATCATAATCAACAAACAAGATTTACAAATGTTCATGATAGAGTCATTTATGGTGTTCACAAATGCATTTACAATCTACAAACAAATACCAACCAATTTGTGAAACAAGTGTAAACAATTTAACAAATAAATACAACTCACTGCCTTTGTGGATAAGAGGCTGTGAAAACTCCACACATAAATGTAACCCAATCTACATGTGTCAGATGATATATGCACAAACATTCAACAAAATAAAATTTAAACAAATGCAAAAAAAAAAAAATCTTTGAAAATAGACATATATATGCACAGCAAGCGTTAAAAAACAAATGTTTTTAGATTCATGAACTTGAAAAGTATTTGTTGACTGGAAATGCATTTGTGAACAAATTGTCATTGCAAATGTGTTTTTTTTTTGTCATTTGTGGGTCATGAAACACACGTTTGTCACCAGCTGTAAAGCTCTCGCACAACCTAGTTTCATGTGTGAATATATTCTATAGTATTGTACAGGAAACATAAAGAGTTACTCGTACTTCCTTTATATATATTTTTTCCCTGTATTACATAGGACAGCTGAAGATAGACAGGAAAGGGGGGTAGAGAGAGGGGATGACACACAGCAAAGGGCCACAGGTCTGTCCCGACCCCATGGCCTCTGCCGCAAGGACCATATGGGGCGCCAGCTTAAGCAGGTGAGACATCTGGGCGCCTTGTTACTTATACTTCTGTTTCTGTCAAGACCAGCTACAATAAAAGAAGCTGTAGTTTAAAACACTTTATCAACTTCACGTTGTCATAAAGGACAGCTACAACAGCACACACTGTGTGAGCTACTATAAAGTGTAACACTACAATGATACAGAGAACTATAAACTCCGGTGCTTATATAGGAAATGTATTGGAGCGGGCTGGAACAATGCCACTGCAGTGATTTCCCCAAGGAGGAAAAATAAATGGTGATGTTGCTGGAAGAGTATATTTTTTTTATGGTTGAGAAAGACTAAAGTGGAGTTCCAGGCAGGACCGCCACCTCCAGGTGAGTATAATCCAGATGAAACTTTAACTCCCAGGATGATTCTTCATGCTCAGGTCTTGTACATCTCAGTGAAGTCCGGATTAGACATCTAACCTAAAAGGTTTTACTTACAGCTGAGTTCGATCCGAATGAAGTCTTTGATGCCCAAGTTTTCCAGGAAGACCCCAGAGGATGAAGTGGTTTTAAACAGGAAGGAGATATCTGCACTCAGCTCTCCGTGGAATGTGGGAAAGTGGAGGTACGATGTCTCTTTGTCAAAAAATGCAGCATTCCAGACATTCTCTGCAAATAAATAAACATCTATTAATCATGGCCTTGAAATTATAATTATAGAGCAGAGGAATGAGTTTGGAATTCAGCTTTTACAACATTAGAGTTATTCACATTCAAATGTTGCTAATGCTTAGACTGACATGACACACAAACCATTTCAAAACCAAAAAATATAAGGTTACATTGAGTGCTCTGGACTTACTGTCTCCATGGCAACGGAGATGCCCCACCCTGAAGGCGCTTTCTGAGCCAGGCCTGTGGACATCACCCAGCACGAGAGATCTAACAGGAAGGGTTTCTTTATGGGTCAGCAGGCCTGAGTCATTTGCCCTGGAAGGTAGGTAGAGGACGAAGCGGAAGAAGAGGAAGAAGCTGAATTTAAGACTAGAGGGGAGAAAGATAAACTTTCATCACTAGAAAAATAAGACAGAGAAGACAGAGCATAAGAAGGAGTTTGATAATCATTATCAGCAGCAGGAGAAGAAAAAAACAGGAAGAAGAAGGGAGATGATGGGGGAGCAAAAAGGAAAATTCATCATCACTATTTCCTCCAGCAATAAAGTGAAAAAGTGAAACAGAGAAAAGTGAGATCAGACATAATGAATTACCAGTTCATTTGGTTAAGTAGCCTACAGTATTCTTATTTTTTCAAAGCAACATATCTCTTGTTGATATGAGTATATATACAGTACCATTCGGTGCGGTCAGCATCACAGTTGCAGTGGTGTTTGGGATCCACACAATTCTCCTGCAGGCCACAGACACACTGCTGGCTGCCTGGTGCAGCCCCGCCCCAATAAGTCTGCATCTGTCCAACACCTGGACCTCCTACCCACCAGCTTAGTGGAGGGCCATCTGTAACACACATTTGTTTTACTTGTCAGGAACTGTATTGTATATTACAACTATAATATATATTACAATATTGCATTGAATTCAATCATTAAAAATGCTTTATTTAATGATTAAATACAATGATTCAAATACAATCATTATTTGACAATTTGTGAAATGTGAAAAGTAAAATGTTAAACCACAGTAAAATTATTTAACATTTGAACTGTGCAGCTTTCTAATGACAATATACACTCACACTTATTTTATTAGGTACACCTGGTTGAAACTAATGCAGTTTAATAAAACAAATGCAAAGAAATCTCTTCATGAAGGCTAAACTGTTTGCTGACGCGTTGATTCATCTGTATTGTCACTTTGCTGCAGTTTGTACTGTTGTCTATTTGTATTGCATTATACTTACAGGTGTTTCCACTTCTTTTAGTATATCAATGAGGGTGGGCTAAACAACAGAAACACCTTTCTGTTTATTGCAATACAGTTCAGCTGCACCACAAACTTCATGTAGGTACAATTTATTGCAGGATTGTGGTATTAGACTGCATTAAATTTAGATTGGTTTACCTAATGAACTGACAACTAAGTGTAAATAAACATTCATAATTGATTACTAAATCTCTGTAGAGTTTGTATTGCAATCTCATAAAGTTGCAGGACTGCAAGAGACAGTTCTTACAACCTACATATCCAACTTAAACTTTGTTTTTAATATTAAAGGTTCTGAATAATCTGTATGTGGTGTCACAGGATATCAACAGGCCTTACCCGGTGTGTTGAGGAGGCGTGACTTCTTGCAGTGGTAGGTCAGTTCCTGTTCGCAGTGCTCTGATTGGCTTATAATGGCAGCCAGCTGCCCCTCTTCAGATGTGTATTCAAAGTGAGCTGAGTGCTGATTTTTTCCTGGCAATGGTCGGACTCTGGTCAGCTCTGTGTTATTGTGCTGGATCACTATCCATGTTTTGTCCTCTGGTGGAGAGAGAGACAGAATAAATAACAAAGAAAGAAAATACAAAGCATGTATTTTTTATTTTTCATTTGTGTGTGTATGAAAAAAATGGCCTGTAGGATGCTTTCCTCAGCAGGACTGACAGAAATAGAGGCAGGATGAAAGAGAGAGAGGGAGAGACCGGACATGAGGGTGTCTGAATGGTGTGTTTTGATGTGTGTGTGTGTGACAGCTACCTGTCATGTTGCAGTATATTAGCTGCGGTCTGATGGGTCCGCTGCCGTCCACATCGATGTAATAATACCCTGAAGTGTTGCCTTTGTGTTTGTATGCCTCACAGGACTGCTCGTATATAGCTGAGGAGAGATACAGCATCATGATCATTACAGTAATTTATGTTTGCGTTATCCTTGCTTTGTCTTCTTTTGGTTGAAAACTGCATTGGAACTTCAGTATTTTGTTCACAATGGAGATGAAGAGAGACTGTCTAACTGTTTTCGAAAGCTTCCGCCCACAAGAGAGCCACACTGTTGTGCCTTTCTACAATAATTATACAAACTACAAGGCACTTCAAAATATTAAAGGAAACCTGTATTTCAGTTCAAATTTTTTAAGGCAAAGCTATTCTGCTATCAAACAATCAAACACATTTTAAATTTTCTAAATTATAGTCCTGTCATACTGTACTAATAATAATAATAATTAAAGCTGCAAGCAGCGATGAACGGTCTCTGTCCACACATGTAGGGGGTGTACTGCAAATATTACCATATTATGCATAGACCACACCATGAGAATTTCATGTAAATCAGATGATGATTGCCATACAAGGCTTACTTCCTGTTTCCAGTGGGTGGCGCTACTATAACTGAATATTGACACCTAGATGAATTCTGGCTGTGCCTCTCATCAAATATAAGTAATACGTTTGGGGCCTATTGGAGACATTACAACAACTCCCTACATGTTTCTTAGCGAAATGTCAAACTTAGTCAACATGGCATGGACACACCCTTCAAAGAAAACTCAAGATATTTATAACTGTTCATCATGAAGATCCTTAGATCACGCTGACCAAATTTGAAGTCGATACGACCAATTCTCCAGTTTTTTAAAATACAATGCCTGGAAATGGCAAAAACATTGTCAAAATTGCACATTAGACTTCCCGTTAGGTTTGTACTTGATTGTACTTTGTTCAGTACTTGATGTTTTAATGCATACCCCCCAAACCACCCTAGCAAATTCAGTTTTTGGACCTCAGACCTCGGTTTTCAAAAACCCTGTGTACAGCAATGCTGGTGAGGTACTCGTAAATGCCTGCGTCTCCACGTAAACACGTAACTAGCCTAACACTGAGAAAAAGCAGTGAAAATGTCCTTGCTAACAAGGATAAAAAACAGCAAAAGAATTATTAAGGTTTTGTTGTGTTTATAGTTAGAGTTGTACTGAATTAGGGTATTTGCACCTTTTTTGGTCCAGTTCAGGCACTGGTTTGCGGAATGGCTCCAGCAGGCTTTTGTGTATCTTGTCATTATACATGTGCCTTTTCATACATCTTGGTGAGCTGGTTTCTTTTGTAGGGGGCGCTCTTGAGCCATTTTGCCACACCCATGCGCAAGACCCATATCAAATGTAAAGTTTTGCTATTTGAGATAGGTCTGTCAAGTTTTATGACTTTTCAAGCACTCCTCTTAATCTCCCTCTTTCTTTTTTCCTGGGTCGACTGTTTTCCTCTGGACTGAGACTCCTCAGCTTCTCACACAATGACGATGATTGCTAGAAATAGGTTTGATATCAGCCTGACCTTCTGCCACAACATTGTCTGCAGGGACCTCAAGTTAAAAGCAACAGGTTGTCTCATTACAGGAAGCGTGTGTACACAAGTGCACACATACACATGTAGTCCATAGTGTATATGTGTGACCTTTAAACAACAACAACCAACAAAGCTTCATGCCCTTACAGCTGTGACAGGTGGCTCCGCTGTAGCCGGTGCTGGAGCAGTTACAGTGAAAGGTACTCCATGATTGACTGCAGCTGCCTCCGTGTTCACAGTGACTCTGAGAACACCTTAGAGACAGACAGAGAAAAAAAGCAAACATTTAGACCCAATACTCCCCATAACCTTTCCCCGTGTTGTAGAGCCAAGTAAGATAAGACTTTATTGATCTTCACAAGCTACCCAACAGTATACAATGTGATTAAAACAAGAAACAGCATGTAGCATTAAGGTTTTTTCAAAAGAATTTGTTAAAAAAGCACAAATAAGACACACCAACAGTATGTCCAAGGTTAAAATGCTTAATATTATAGTTGAGGTTAACCTTAGATTTAAATGTAAGGAGGTAAAACAATTATGTTAAGTTAGGGTAAGGTTTTCCTGATAATAAAATAACTAAAACTTCCACTAAAAGTTTGCTGTTTTGGCTGGAACCTGAACCCAGATCACTGAAGATAAAATGTAATCAACTGCGCTGACCTAAAACACCTCTACTTTTCACTGCATTCAATATCTAACTACAGCTTGTTTCTGGCCGTACAACCTCATTTATCACTGTAATGAAAGTATATGTCACCAATTGCAACAATATCGCTCTTTTAAATGTTTTAAGTAGTTTTGGACAACAACAGAGTTACAGTAAATGGCACAAAGGTGTGGGAAATATCAGGCTTAGACTTTATAGACTTTTCTTCCATTGTTGTTTTTTTTTCTTTTCAACACATTTCTTAATGATATTAAAATGATAAAATAACATCATTCCTATCCTTTAGTCAAAAAAAGAATATGAATAAATCAGATCAATTCTTTCTTCCTTCCCTTCACAACAGCAGTCACGATGCATTGGAGCAAAGAGCAAATATGTGTAACCACATTTGTGTGTAGTTTATTTGCTCAGAAATATATCCCTACACCATTAATGACTGAGGCTCCAAAATGTTCCTGTCATCTGGTGCAGCTTCCTGACAACACTGACTGGAACAAAGCTCTGTAAACAATGCTTACACATTCAGGTGAATATTTTTCTTGTCCACTGTGGACATGACTCGAGAGAAGCTGTTTTCCTGCTGATCAGCAGTGTGTTTGTGGGAACACTGCTGATATTTCTGATTGAAAAATAATCCTGGTGTTATTACTTTGTCCTTCAACTTTATGTGAGTTTTGTCATGTACTATGGCATCCAAAATACACACAGTAAAACACATTTGAGCAGACTCTGCTGCTGTTAACTTGGACTTTCTTCCTTCTCAGTGTCAGTCCTGTTTCAGGACTGAGCCGGGGTGGAAAGCAAAACAAAAAAAAGGGAAGGAAGAAAAGGGTTAGGACATGCAAGGAAAGAGACAAAATGGTAAGAGGGAGAGAGAAATCCAGGAAGGGGAATTAAGGTTGAGAGATGGATCGAAGGAGGGGAAGAAGGGAGGGTGCAACAAAGGGGATGAAGGTTGGGATGAATGGAGCTCAGCGGCGACTGGGTAAACATATTTGGAAGGAGAAATGAGGTCAGCGAATTGTGACTGCAGAGAGACGGAGAGAGAAAGAGAGAGGGAGAGCAGCATGTATTTTTAATCTTTTAGTCAGTGGGAAATTTACTGTTCTAAAAAGCCTTACTCAGCAGGCTTGTCAGATGGTAACATTTGCTTTTAAGTACAAATTTCTTTGCTTTCCTTTTAAAAGTAAGTTGGGATGGAGGCGGGTGCAGTACTTTGTATTTACTCCACTACTATATGCTTTTAAATATATGCATTAGGCAGTGTATTGTGACCTCACTTATCTTGCAAAGCATGTGTCTTTTTTTTTAACTGATGAATATGACCAGTCAAGCAACGCTTATTTCAGGAAAGTACACTGTAGGTTGTAGGTGAGGGGTTGGAGAAGTGCAAATCAATTTTTCAGGTTGACATTTTATTGAAACAAAAGCTGCTCAGAGGATAATATGGACGTCATATACCAGTGGGCTGTAATGATTTGGAAAAAGGTCTAATGTCATGTTCTGAGAACAATGTATTATTGCTCACACACAACACAACATTAAACTGACACAGTGGAGCTTGACTTGACATTTTGTGCAATACAAAAAGATAAAAGGGAGAGGCCACAGTATTTAATGATACGGAAATGTTTAGATTATTGATTCTGTCTAATAGGGGTAATGGATTATTTGTGTACAATATCTGTGTTGGTTCAAGAGCATTCAGTTCCCTGGATATGTATGTATGACTCAAATATCCCTATAAAATATTATATTGCCCATCAAAAACAAGACAGCAAGATTGTATTTAACTTTAAGCTGCGACTGCCATCCAGTTTTTATTCCTACATACATCTAAAATGCAACAGACGCATGTTCAACAAAATCATAATGCGCCAGCAACTGCAATTATTGAAGTGTTTTAAATCTAAATCCCCACATTAGGACTGACTTGAGTTCAGGAGACTCTTTAAATTATGCTTCACTCACAATATTGCAAACTTTCCTTTACCACTTTCTGGACGCATTGGAGTCCAGAGCATTAAAAACCATCAACATAAGCAAGATGGTAATGATGATGGTCATCTGGCAATAACAATTAAAAGGTCCAGTGTGTAACATTGAGGAGGTTCTATTGGCAGAAATGGAATATAATATTCATAGGTATGTTTTTTTTAGTGTATAATCACCTAAAAATATAAGAATAATTGATTCATTGCTTTAAAATGGGTTCTTTTGATCTAAAAGGGGAGCGGATCCTCTTCTATGGCCATGTTGAACCTCCCTGTTTCTACAACCAAACACTGACTTTAGATAGGGCATTTCACATTTGTGCGAGCTTTGCAGCCAGGCTGAGATGTATTCAAATGCATCAATAGATCCTACACACAGGTCCATAAAAAAGCAGAAGCAGAGAGCAAATATCCACTAAAACTAACTTTGAAACAACATATTCTTGAATTGCACAGAGCCAACAGACTCTAAATGTTGTTTGTGGCTTTCCTGGATAGAGTATTCTCTCTGTAACAGTCTATATACTGTAGTATGGTACCACTGCTTCTTGCAAATAAATCACATCTTTAAGAAACCGGGAAAGCAAAACTAAATTTCAGCTCAGAGAAAGGAAGCTGTACCTAGACAGACAAAACAATAACTGGATTTTCTTCTTAGTGAGCAAACATTTTTGGAAACATTTAGACAGGAACACTGATGCCATAAATCCCTCTGTATCCAATCCACTGCTGTCTAATAATCCATATGTAACCTCATTTCACAGGAAGCCAGTCAAGGAGCCTTCAGAGGGAGATTAACAGGGTTTACAAGAAGAGTGACAACAAAAAAAGTACTATTTTCTGGCAATGCCTTCTAACACACACAATTAGGTATCACATAAAATTATATGTGCCAAACCAACCTTTCTTTGATAAATAAAGGTAAAAACAAATATAGCATTTAGCATTTGCTTGGTCAATTAGGTCTGACCTGTCAATGATACCACACATGTCAATCAGCAGGTGACTGTAGTTTCCCATCAGCCTCTGCTGCACCATAATCAAGTCCACCTGTTGGTTGTCCACAGTCAGCAGACGCATGCAGCCCTGGAAAGCCTTGAAGGGGTTCATACACTCCTGGCTGTTCCCTTCAGCAGGGCAACCTATGCAGGGAGGAAAAAACATCAGTCAGGCAATCAAACAACACACAATGATGTCCACCCTGAACCTGTCAGAATAATGTTAGTTTGTGCATGTGTTGGTCTGTGTATCTCTCTTACCACCAAAGAAAAGCTGACTTCCCGTGGTAAGAAGAAATGAGGGACTGGCGTGAGACAAGGCTCCTTCATCTCCGTCCACAGCGACAGTCAAATGTCCTCGTCTGGAGATCAGCTCCACAGAGTGCCACTGACCATCATTCAGAGCTGAACCTGAGGACACACAGATACAGTATACTGTTCACAAAGACACATATATATTGAAAATCTTACAGGGTTAAGATTAGAATTCTAGGTATTCACTAATTGATCTCTGTAGTATTTCCCTTGTCTCACAAGGAGGTCAGAGGTCAGGCTCAACTGTAAAACAATGCTTGTTGAAACTGGTATTGATTCAGTATGTGGCACTTGAGGTGAGAAAATTAAGGTTTAGGTTGCAGGTTTGTCCTCAGACTGACCTGCACTGAGCTCCAGCGGTGACCTGCCAGACTTGTGGATCTGCAGATGTAGCCTGGCTTTGCTCAGGTACAGCCAGACTGCACCCCCTTGCTTTGGGAGAACAAAGGTCAGCAGCAGCCCCCCCCTGTTCCACGTCCGAAACTGAAGCCCCACCGACATGCCAGTTGATGACGATTCTGTCACCCCTGGCAACCAGAGAAAGCTCTGGGGACTGGTGAACGTCATGGCAACAAAAACGGGTTCAGCACAAGAAAAGGTCATATTACCCTGAGATAGGTGAGGAGAGGGGAAAAGATATGGAGAGGAGAATTATTATAGCAAAAGAAGAAAAACAGGATAACGCATGAATATGAATTAATTTCTAAGGCAGCATGGCGGCGCCCTGATGCACAGAGATCTCATCAGCAAGTCTCCTTAAAGAGCATGAGCATATTACCATAATGATAATAGCCAGGCTTAGAATAAGCACAAGCAGACCAAACTGAAGTCACCAATGTCATCCAACAGCTTTCTAAGGTCATAGAAAAAGTATGGGGGTGCAGAAAAACACAGGAAGAAAGAGAAAGAAATAAAACTGTGATTAAGGGACTGGGAGCAGTTGGTCATCTCTGTATGTAAGCTCATAGTTGTGAGAAGTGGTAATTAGAGTAAGTCCACTGCCAGGGCACCAACAGTGATGTTACTTCCCAGGTTCCCTCCTGGGCTTCTATTTTCAGTGGAGTATGCAACGCACAGACACTTCAAATCAAATCTAAAAGCTCTTTGTGGGGTAGTTAAAGCGATATACAGTAATGCGGCCTGAAGAGGAAAATGCCGTAGAGATTTTTCAGCGGTGCACACACATGAATACAAATACAGACAGAAATACGAAGGCATGCATTCTTTAAACACTGATGGGACTATTTCCTTACCTCTTAAAAGTTTAATAAGTGTACTTTGAGATAACATTTTCACTTCTTCATAGATAAAGATTCAGCAATGTATATTGTGTACCGTACTTAGTCTTTTGCATTCCCACCTTATTATGATTTTATTTGTTTTAAACGTGATACTCCTCAACAACAGACAGTGTAAGTGATTGATATATAATATTAATTTAGTAAATGTGTTGTGTGCAAGCAACAATACACTCTAAAGTGTCCTGACACAAAAGAAACGGACAAGGAGAAGGCAAAACAAAGTGGAGTTGAGTTTATTGTGCACTGACAAAATTGGTCTGTAGTCAGTTAAACAAATGTTAGATCAGTCGCATTATTAGCTTTTATCTAGTAATGAAGTATCAAGCAGAAGCATTGTTGCTATGGTGACCATAATCTTATTATGAAGTACCTTGTGCAGTGATTTAGGACTGTGGATTAAATGCTGACTGGTTTGTTTGAAGTGCTCTCTTATAGGGTTTTAATGGACACCATCAAGCTAATCAAAAGTTTTTATTTTTTCATGGCCAGTTGTGTAAAGTAACAAAGTACATTATGTAAAATACAATTTTGAGGTACCTGTACTTTCCTTCTACCCCATTTCAGAAGGAAATATTGTGCTTTTTTCTCCAAAGCCTTTATTTGATAGCTTTAGTTACTAGTTGCTTTGCAGATTTAGACCATTAATATAAAATATAACCAAAAAATATATATAGATTGTGCTGCTCTGTAATATATAAAGTAGTATTCAAAAATCTGGTATAAAATTCCACCACTTTCCATGGTCCAATACATATGTTGGTGCAAATGACTCTCAAACAGTATATGAATCTCATTTCTGATTTATGTCCATTTATGCCCTCAAATAGTGGATCTACAGTGCTATAAACAAACATGCACACACAAACACACTTTTCATTGAGCCAGTTTACCTTCACAGAGACCCGCTGGTCTTTCTGTTTGGCGAGGTCTACCAGATTCATGCCGTTGTAAACAAGATTTTCCAAACAGCCTTGAAAATTCTTGTTTGACCCGACTGACCTCGCAGAGCTGGGGCCCTGGTCTGCTCCCACACTCATCTGTACAGAGACAAACATGAGCAGAACACATAGTTAAAAATAAATAAAGAGGGTGTTTTTCTGTTTGTGTGCGTCCCACACCAATACAAACACACCTGGTCATGGTCCCAGTGGGTGAGTCTTGGTGGGATCTGCACCCACAGCGTGCTTTTGTCCACGGTGAGGTTGAGGTAAGTGCTGTGACGCTCCACTGCGATGTGGTGCCAGTGTTGGTCATCTAACAGGCTGCCCAGAGACACCAGCTGATGGCTTTCGGAAGAAGAACTCCTGCCTGGAGCACAGGACGAAGACAAAAAGTGACATGAAGATGTGGATAGAGGAAAGGAAAGTCTCTTGAATTTTGCTTTTTAAATAGTCAGATACCTGGAAACTGATATTGATATCAGATATTTGAGGTTGCTGAATTTTCATTCTTCTGGCTGTCAGCCAGTTATTAGAAATACATTTGAGTTTTTTTCCCTGTAGAAATCCTGTCTTTGGTTCTTCTTAACATTTTTTTCTAATGTTTAATTCAGTGAGATAATTATACTCTGATATCTTTTTATTTCCAACAGCATAGTGGGAAATGTAGCTCTCTGGGAGCAAAGTGTGCACCGTATCCCAGTTTACTCATGAACTGGCAGTACAGTAGTGCCACAGTTTTCTGTTGGGGATCACATCTCTAAATCTACATCTAAAACTGAGAAAGAACCAGAAAAGGTAGGTGGTAACACATAATTAACACTAAAGGGAGTAGAGACAGGGGAAGAATGGTAAATAAATAACTGACAAAGGAAGTGCTGCTGGTTCTCTGCACTCCCTGAAGTGTTGGCAGAATGCAGAGTTTCTGCTGAGAGAGGGAGGTGAAGACAGAGCTAAATGCACTTGGTCATTAAATATTAATTAGATATTGTTGGAGGAGACAATGTTGTCTGTGTGGGGTAAAGAGAAAAGAGAAAAGGAGAAAGAGGCAGAGACAGTCAAATGTGTTTAGTCATCAATCATCATTGATCTGTCAATCAGATACTTGGCAAAGCAGAGAGAGACTAGAGAGAGGGAAGGAGACAGACGGAGATAGAGGAGGAAAGAGTGAAGTGTACTTAATCATCAGCAGACAGATGTTAGCACATGTCAAAGAGAGAGAGAGGGGGAAATGAAGGCAAAGTCAAGTGTATTTAGTCATTACTGATACACACACAGTGTCTTTCATTGCAAACCTGTCAACAAAATGTTCTCTAACAATGTACCACATTTAATTTGTTTTCATACAATATAAGCTCTCAACTGACACTATGTTAAACGTCGAAGGCACTCACAGAATTTGGTTAGGGTTCGGGAAAGATCTTGGTCTTGATTAGTATGGGAAAAGTCAACAGATATGTTTACTTTATCAATATTAAATCATGGACCACAATCTTTTGCAGAACCACATGGAACTGAAGTGAACAGAAGTGAATTTGCCTGCTGAGGTGAAGTTAATTTGTTCAGGTTTAATTTTTAAACCATCTTCACAGTGCGTGTGAGGGAACAAGAGAAGCGGAGAACACAAAATGAAAAAATACAATTAATACAATCTTGCCAAAAAAGAGCTTTTATATCCATTTGGCCATAAATGAAACTATTCAAAACCATTAGTCACAGCATTAAACTCAAGTTGTCACTATATCATCAAACCTCCAGTATATTATGCAAAAAACTTGATGATTGAATTTCACTGTCAGTTTCTTGTGTGAGTGGGCCCTAAGGAGTCTACCAGTCAAGCAAATTTCTGGTGTTGTTTCTTTTATATTACATAATAATAATATTATTTCTGTTTTGTTATTATCCATATTTGTCACATTTGAGACTAATATTGTGGAACTATAAAATCCAAAAAAAGGTACTATTGAGAGTTTTTGTTACCTCTAGAAGTGCTATTGAGCAGATTTTTTAGATGAATGAGTTCCCGTTTTTGTCTCATTTTGTTTTTTGTCAACTGATCTATCTAAGCTATATGTGCCCAGATATGCCAGAATGTGTCAATAAAGTCATCAAACAAGACTGGTAGCATGTAAACATGAATGTAAACAATGTGGGTTTCAAAATGCAATTCAACATGTCTGTTTGACCTAAAGGATACACACATACATTTTGGTGAGTAACACTGAATGTAAATGTAACCTTTGTTTGTTTGCCAGCAAACAGCACATATAATACATATAAATGTATATGTATTATTAGTAATATAAGTTAGTAAGTAAATTGTTGTACTTGATCCAATTTATGGGTAAACCATAGGCTGTTGCATGGCATGGGGCTGGCTTTAATGAATTCCCCTCTCTCCATATCAAGATCTGTCACAACGATATTGTTTGTTCTATAAGTGCCGTTCATGTCTGCAGTAAACTTTTAAGAATTCCTCTGGTTGATCTCCCGAATCACGGGGGACGCCTTAATTATCAGGGGCGTATCCTCAGGATTGATGTGTACCATTTAGCGGCATCTAGCAGTGTAGTTGCAGACCACAAGTCTCTCAGTTCACCCTTCCCTTCCAAGCACAAAGGGAAAACTGCAGTGGCCGCAAACACGTGAAAGGTGCAAATGGCCCTATCTAGAGCCAGTGTTGGGTTTGGTCGTTCTGGGATAGTGTAGAAACATGGTGGTTCAACATGGTTGCCTCCATATCCATATTATCTCTGTAGATATAAAAGGCTCTTAGGTAACAAAAGCGTGATGATTCTTATTTTCAGGTGATTATCAATAAGGAAAACATACCTGTGAATATTATATTCCATGTAACGCCAATAGATTCTCCTAAATGTTACACAATGGACCTTGAGGGGATCTGTATGGAGCTGCTAAAAGTTCATCAGTCTTTTTTTACTTTTTACAGTGTAGGTTTCTGTGTTAGATCATTTAAGACAGCTCCCTAAGGCAATATCACCTAATCATCTGCTGTCTGCTCCTGCATTACAGCTCTTTGCTACAACTCTAAATCTAATTTTGTTCGAAGACACTGACAGATCTTATCAGATGACACCCTGCTGTAATTGTTTCAGCATTTTCATTATATTCTGTTCAGCTTAAATGATTGAGACGGTACACACAATCAGTCATCGCAAGCATAATATGAAACCTCTGAACCTGCTCCCAACAAGTACTCCTGCAAAGAGAACATTTCAGAAACCTTATGTGTTTGAAGACTTTGCTAAAAAACAAATAAAGAGAAAAAGTTATTACAACATTGATATTCAACTGCTGTTTCAGTTCTTCCTTTTGGGAGTCTTTTTAAGATGCGTAAAAAATATATGAGTAACATTTAAACTTTATGTTATTTTATGTGAGTCGTCAAAATGTGAAAAAATAAATAAATAAATAAAACTGCCTCTGAGCTGCCAGAATCAAGCAGACATTGTAATTATTTCTTCCTTTCATTTCATTTTTATGACTGGCTGTCAAAAATCAGTTGACACAATCAGCAACTTTTAAACGTCAGCAACAACCAGCGATCTCTAAACATATCCACAGCAATAACTCCAGGAAGAAGTGTTTTAAGAAGCTGTGCTTCAAACAACTCGGACTTGACACTGAACTAGCAACTAAATCCGGGACCATTTGAGCCTCTTACAGGCTATGCAGCTAATCAGCTTGTCATTGTGAGTCAAACATGGTCTCTGTATTATTGGAACGAGTCAGCTGTGGGCTGTAAAATTAAGCACAGCTGGCTTTCTCTGACATGTTGCTTCTTAGATGAAGGCTAAGCCGCTTATTTACAACCCTGTGAGACAGAACACAACGGAGACACCTTCCTATAAATCACTATGGATCGAGTAGAATAACATAGTCGATACTGCAGGATTGAACACGACACACAGCCCACCATTCACTGATACAGCTGAGCTGACAGACTGTATCCAGAATGAGTCATCATCTGCTTCCAGCCAGCATCTGTTTTTATACTTGTGTAGACAGGGACTAACAGAAAGACAGAAATAAAACAAAAAACATTTGATATGAGTGCTAAAAAGCTCTCTGTGTGCAAGATTCTTGATTTTGTATTGAAAGTAAATCAAAAACTCCAAAACATATAATAGAATTGAGCAAGATCAGACCATTGCTTTTGCCTTTGATACATATCAGGGGCTCTGTCTTACAGTCCCATCAGTCCTTTAATACATGATGGAGCTCCAACAGCAACTGAACCTCCAGCGCAAGCAGTTTTAATACAACCACAAATCAATGTTCTCTATTTCAAAAGCTTCTACCTAAAACTCTGAGTTTGCAGGCAGCTCCAGTCAAATCCTTGGGGAAGAATTTAAGGCTTTTACTTCAGATCAAAAGTAAACCACATGGATAAACTCAACAGATCCAACTTTCACATTGAGTCTGCATGCAATCGACTCACATAACATAAAAGAGATCACCTCTCTATCCCAAGAGCTCACTTACCTGGTCTGTTTTCTCTGCTCTTTATGTCTTGTCCAGCTCTTTATACGGGTGCACATACAGGGTATGAATTGTACTCAAAATTCACATTTGAGAGCAAATTTTAATTTTGAAATAGCAAACTGCATTGCAAAGACTTCATATGTGTATTATTGTACATAAAGAAGTACCATAAAGGAAAAAACTTTTTATCTTGTGTTCTTTTATGAAACCTTCATTCTTTAACAAACAAAAGCTCAGCCAGAAGGCATACGATCAGTGACCATTGATCCCTGGTATATTTACCTTTATAAAATATTCTAGTGGGACAAAAAAAACCTGAGCTTAATTAGCCAGTGAGTTACAGAACTATAAACCGACATTTTGATGAATGTATTGCAGCAAGGAAATGGGATGCTATTGCTGGCAGCGCATACATTTTAATAAGCCAGTGTATTTATTTAAAAAGCTTGGATGGCTACAGGCAAACAGGGTGGAACTAAGGGTCTTCTGGGGTGCTGCTGTTTAGGGTACACCAGGGAACAAAGCTCTCATAACGGGTGTTACGGTGGGGGCCTGACCAGCACACACTAATGAGAATCTAATGCAGGTAAAGGTGCAAATTAGTTAATTACCTCTGTTTTCAAGTTTTTAAAGTGATGTATGAGTATAACAATGGCCTGGATATAGAGTTGCTGGCATTACATTTCTAGTGCTAACTTTAACTTTTGGCTGTGGCTTAGTAGGTAGAGCGAGTCGTCCACTAAACGTAGGGTTGGCTATCCGATCCCACAGTTCCCCATGTCCATGTGTCTGGACTGAACCTAAAGTGCCCCACTGGTGCCCACGGCTGCCCACTGTTCCTAGTGTATAGGATGGGTCAAATGAGGAGGATGAATTTTATTTCCATGTATGCAAATGTTGTGAAATGACAACTGTAGCCTCGGATTCTTCTTCTAAAAGAACTCTGACCTTTGGGTAATGTTCAAAAAGCACTGTCATCTAGAAGCACAAAAGTTTCCCTTAGTTAATGATTATGAAAAAAAAAACTCCTCTCATTGAGTTTCATGCACAACAGTCACTAAGAATTCACTGTTTGACAGAAGTTTCAAAGTGCATTGGCATCTTTGGCTGTGGCTCAGAGGAAGAGCGGGTCGGTCCGACTAATCGGAAGGTGTTGGTTCGATCCCCGGCTCCCCCCGCCACATGTCGAAGTATCCTTGAGCAAGATACTAAACCCCAAGTACAGGTCTATTTACCATTTACCATTTACCATCTTGGACCAAGCCCACAAATGTAGCACAGACAGATGAAGCTGAATAACCAAACCTGGCACTTTCAAACCACAAAATCCATCAGTGTGAAGGTAACAAGGTACAGCACATGCAGCAACAAAGTCTGCTTCTGGACACAATTCAGAAACGAATCCCAGAGGGCTGCTTTTGATAACAACTCCCCCAAACCGAGAAAACCACGACAAAGCCCAATTTCTGTGAAGCAGCAAAGTAGAAAGAGTACAACACAATTAACCTTGTTGACACTGTTCCAAGATAGTGGCGTCTTGACTTGACTGAAGAAAGAACTTGACTTAATTCATTACTAATGGTCTTTCATACCATAAGTCAAGTTAATGCTTGTGTTTGACTACCCTTACATGCTAGTTTGCATAGCTAAGAGAGGAAAAATTGGTTTTCAAATGACAAATTTTCTGAAATTTTAGAAAAAGTGCATGGTAACACTTTACAATAGGATACATAAAAATCTGAGAAATTACTAAGGAAAGCATGAGAAATGAATCAGAAATTACCTGATAAGTAATTAATTAGTTTATAATAACTCGAATCGAGGAGTATATAATGATGATGGACGAGACACTGTATTAATGAATAATAAGGTAATGTTTAGAAATATCTATGAATCTGAATAACGGCCTCTTTATTATTTTTATTCTATAGGACATCTCAAGATGGACCAGAAAGGGGAAGAGAGAAAGGGGCAGCAAAGGGCCACAGGTTGGACTCGAACTCATGGCCGTGGCAGCAAGGACTCAGCCTTGGTACATAGGGGGCCACTTCCTTACTCATTCCACATTAACTCCCTGAACCAACTTCTCATTTATTACTTATTACTTAATCATTAGCTATTCTTTTTGTTTAACCCCAAGTAAAGTTGTACATACTGAGTACTTAATAAGTACAGTAGTTCCTCATTACGCCATAATTATTTGACCATTACCTACCCCTTTATGCCTTCTTAAGTAAAGCCATACATACAAAGTTCAAATTTGACTCTTCAGTCAGCATTTCGTCAGCATTTCCCACAGCCGCCAACACCAAGCTCAGCATAGCGAGACATTGAGGCGTGACAGTAAGTTTTCCCGTACAGCCACATACAATACAGAAGCCAAAACCAGTTACCACTCTACTCTGCAGACCAGACACCAACCATCATATGAGTTTTTCACTGCTACCGACCTCAGACCACAAAGAGAACACACTGTTTAGTGAATTGAGATGCATAAATCTAATCCACCTATGGTACCAGCAGGCTAAGACTTTTAATTATGCATATTAACATCACAAGGTAGTAGTCTGCTCGGAGAACAATCTCCCATGAGATGTGACTGTATGCGGCGTTGTTGTTAAACAGACGCCTTCAGGATGGATGGATATGAACTTAGTGCAGCTGAGCGTAGAAGCAGCATAAACTGTAGGACATGAGCTCAGCAGTTTAGATGCAACTGAAATAAAAAATAGTGAAGCACGGTGATATACAAATCGAATGCCTGCAAGTGGAAATATCTCTCTAATGCTTGTCTGAGTAGGATTTCACCACCACATAAATCAACGACATAAAAAAATTAATAAATTACAAACAATAACCAAAAGAAGATGAGCTCAGCCACAAATATGAGCACTCCAGCAATTTAGTATTGAACTCCTATAACATCGGGGAACTCAAAAGAAAACAGATTTAAAAAAGAGTGGTCAGCAGATACTGACTTTTAGTATGTAGTATGGGTTCTGAAAACACCGGAAACACTACAATTTTTTAATTATTTTTTAATTTTTATTGCCATTGTCTTTTGTCCTTTCTGTTTGTAACCCAGGTTTGCTGTTAAAACCAAGGCTAAGCTAAAGAAGACATTATACGACTGTTTTCACAGTTTACTCTTCTACGTTCACTGTGGGTTATGGCGAGTAAACTGAACTTCATGAGTAAAATCAGTGGAGCACCCCTTTAATTCACAATACCAAAGCAAGCACTGTACATAAGTGGAGTAACTTTTCTTCATGTGATCAACAAACACCGTGATATTGTCCACCAATACATCGGCTGGAGAACAATAAAGCAGCCAGCAAGGTTTGGCAAAACTTTTATTTTGCTGAGCACATAACCGCAGACTAATCAGAGCAAAGCAATTCTTGATATGCATGTGATCACAAGCAGTAGATGACTGTCTTGGTGACATAATCCTTTGCATCTCAGTGGAAACCAAGGCAGTCCGTAGGAATAGGGGATATGGCTTGTAATACAACAGTTACAGATATTTGCATTAAGTTTCCTTTACACAGCAGCACAGCCAAATGGCTACACGTAGACCTATCTGTTATATATTTTGATGCAGTATGACTTTGAGCAATCACGACATTGTGTGCATGAGGATTTCAGAGTGGTACCTTTTCGGAGGAGGAGGAGAAGCTTTCCTTTCTTTAACTCTAGGGTGAGGCTGTGCTCACTCTGTCCTTCTGCGTGAAGCAGTATCCCAGAGTTCCTCAGGGTTTTAAATTTCAGAGATATGCTCTCCCTGGTCATCTGCCTCGGCCTGGGACTCAACCAGTAGAGAAGGCTGCCACGGCCATCAAAGCTCAGCACGTCAGAGTCTGAATAACAACAAACCCACACATGATTCAGTTAACTTTTACCAATATTATTATAATCAAAGCAATCATTAAAGCTGCAGCTGGTAACTTGTATAATAATGTCTGAGAAAAACAGTTGATTGTTGAGTCTCATGGTCTCAGGTCCCAAAGCGTTGGCTCTGATTTGAACCTGAATTGTAATTACAATGAAAAAAGACGGAATCAGATTTAGTCAAAATAGAAATTATTAGCAGTATTACAATTTAAAAAAAATGTTTTTATAAAATATCTTTTTCTTTTCTAAGGTTACATTGTTCTGTTGTCTTACAGAATACACTTACATCAATACTGTTTATTGATAATTCTTTTCTCTTGTATTTATTAGCATATTTGGCATTGAGGTTATCAAAAATAAATAAATAAAAAGATCAATATGAGGTCAAAATTAATGCCAAAGGTCATGCAGGATGTGGCAAAGGTTTCACCAAAATTTAGATTCTCCTGTATCCTCGAAGAGCTGCAGAGCTGTTTCTCAAAACACATCTGTGTTTGTTTCTCTCCTCATCTCTTACTTTGAACAGGAGTTGGCAGCATATTGTTCATACTAGGATCCAACAAACCGATCTCACCATAAATCATTTCTCTGCATCTTCAACTCATGATAAACAGAATTTTTGGATACCACTTTGTCTAAATGTTGATGAATTTGAATAAATTACAGTCATACATACAGTAGACAATAAGTTTTGTGCCTTCACTGAGAGGGCTACCTCTCTATTACGTGTAAAAAACATGAATGATGTATGCTAAAGCAGCTTAATTCTATATTTGGATTTTTGGTGGTGGAACTACCCTTTCTTGCAAATCATGGGTTGTTCTTTTAACTTAACTCTGTGAAACTCAAACATTGGTAGTTTGAATGCTACGGTAGGCAAAGTGAATGATGAAGCATAAACAAAATGTAGACACTACATGTTTTAGCTGGTGTTAGAATATGAGAAGCAGATTATAGACCAAGGAGCATCTGTCATGTCACTCTAAAGAAAATGATACACTAACATTGCCTGTCATGGTGCTGAGTGTTGCTGTGGTACAAATCTCACGCCCACAGTGTCGCTATCGAAGCATCAAATTAGAAATGTCAACTGAGATGCATCAATTACTGCATCCAGCGCATTTGAGCATTTACTGTGGACAGTGATGCTGGAAACAGGACAAATACAACATTTTAATTAATTAAAAGTAAAAGCCTGGAAGTTTTTTTCCCTCTTTTTGGATGAAACGATTCTAATTTAAGCACATTTCTTCTCACTGAGAGCACACACAGCCACACTCTTCCAAAGATAATTCTTGCACCAGTGTTAGACAAACAAAACATTTTCAAAACAATTTTTCATGCATTGAGTCGTATTAGTCCCTCATGTTTTGATATCATGAACATCATTTTATTTTTGTTTTTTCTCATTTTTTATTGCTTTTGTCCACAGAGTTAGACGGGGATATTTTTTTCCAACTGCATAGATGGATTTGCATTTAAGTCTGTAATGTTTGGGAGTAGGGAAGAAATTATTAACTATTCACACTGGCTAGACTTGCATTCATGTAACACAATGAAACTTTCTCTGCCAAATCAGACATTGGTAGTGGCCTTGTATTACTATATGGCCAAAGCTGTTGTGTCCACACAGCTCTGTTGCCACCTTCTCATTTGCTCTTCATCTTCAATTAATGTTGTGTGTATATTGTCTACATATAATGTGTGTTACCATCCATCTTTATTTTACTGTGCACATTAAACCCTTTGATGGACTGAAAGAGGTTAGAAAAAAAGTTTTTGCACTTGGATGAAAAGTGAGTTTCTGGGGAAAAAAGGTATGGGAAACCGATTTTTTGAATAAACAATGACATTGCAGTACATTCTCGTAATGTAACCAAAGCACCATGTCTCAACAAAGAAGAAAATAAAGAATAAAAAAGGAGGGGGTGTCAGCTAATCCAGTAGCATGCTTCTTGTCACCCTCCTCTCTTTTGTGTCAGCTGTAGCAGCTGATAAAAATACTAAAACACATGGGTGGATGAGAGAAGACAATTCATTGAAATAAAATACTATGAATGCCATTTTAGATTATGTAAATTATGTAATCCTGGTAGAGTTAAAACTATTTAACATAAAACAGAAATAGTCATTGTCGTGGGATATACAACAAAACTAGAAAAAAAAGACTAGAAAGAAAGTAGGAATGCACAATCAGTCTGCCCCTGATGAAATTTAATTCCTTCCTAAAATTCCAGGAAATTCAAGACTTTAGGTGTTGAATTTTAAAAAGCTAAATTGGGTGCGTTCAGACAACACAATATCAATATCAGCCTAATATCAGCCCGACGTTTGGCATATGAGATGAAAAAGGGGCGTCACCCACGACCATCAATCTATCCTTTGTAGTAGTTTGTTTAATTTTTTTCCCTAGGACCTCCTTCCCAATGACATTATGCAGGTTATGTTAGACGGTTGGTCGGGGACCTGTCATGTCTTTCGGCGAAGTCACAGCAAGAATATCTGACTCTATAATTGCCAAATTGGACATAGTGACCAAAATATTGTGCTTTCTAAACCCGGTTGGAGAGATGTTTTCCCTTAAACTTGGTTCAGTTTTACAGGGTCATCCATAATGGCCACTCAGAAATGCTGACTGGTACTGTATAACCGTGCTTAAAATTGGTTAGAATTTGCACAGAGAATAGTGAATCTTATGTCCCATTCAATGATGTCAGACATTAAGGCATTAGTATTGGTGTAGGTGTCCACTCTGGTGTCACCTTTTAAGTTAATGCCTGTAAGTAGTGGATTTAAAAAAATATCTCAAACTGACTGTAAGGACATCCATAGGTCTCCAGTCTGAGTCCAATCCGACCATTGGGATTCCAGTCCAGAGGGATCAGGCGGACGTAACGAGCAATCACTGGATGTTGGAGCTTGTGCTGGACCACACTGTCTGCGTTACTGTTTCCTGGAAAGGCCTGGAAAAACACATCAATAGCAGCGAGTTAGCAAGTTTTCTGGCTTTCCATCCAGGCATCTGTCCATCTTTTGCTTGAGAAACTCCATAGAGATAACTATGAAATTTCTCCCTCTGGGTCTTTATTGTAATCAAGCTTACGACTAAATAAGTGAACAAGTTCTTTCATCTTTTTATTGACGCTGAAGAGAAATCCCCAAGGCTTCTGTGATAAATGAAACGTTTCATTTTCCTTTTAATGAAGGGAATATTGTGGAGATAGGGCCACGTTCCTGGTGAATGGTTTCTCGATCAGGTAGAAAATTAGATTTGTGAGGCACGACTTGTAGTTTTATATGTTTTAGACGCTTTGGTAAACACTTAGTCCATTGAGAATAACATTTATTAACCTCTGTGATCCTAGCACACTCTTTCTTGACTTTTCTACCTTTAAACCTCAAGTTGAACTCGACCATAAGCCTTTTTATCAACTTTTTTCCTAAACCATATACATATTTTCTACTTTTAGTCTGCTTGCCTTTCTCTGTTCAGGTAGTTCTGGTTCTTTTCACAATAGCAGGAGTGTTATATAAGTAAACAACATTTTGTTTGATTGTGCTTGACTCTGAATCTTTGTGACTCAGTGTCTGTTCTTCCTGAATTACCCGTGCTACTGATTTTGGTCTCTTGGCCCCTTGCCATTTCAGTGTTTCACTTAAAAACCTTTTCTGTATACCGGCTCTGAACACTTTATTTGTTTTGTAATTTATATGCAAATACTGTAAACTCAACCTACAACTAAACTGCCGATTTCCAGCAGTTAGTAAGTAAAGGGGCTGCAGGATAACTTAGTGAGTGGTGTCCTTCAAATGGAGAACATATACTCTGCTGAAATGTCCTTGAATAAACCACTGAATCCCTACAGCTCCAGGTTGCTGGTCTGCGGCTGATCCTGACCTCCAACCTCCCTATGGAGGTGGACAAGATAAGATTTCTGAACTGAATTTCTAAACAGGATCAATACTTGTGATGTTAAAATCTCTACCTGCTGTTGTGATTTTAAATGAAGCTGAAACTTAACACATAAGATTTTATTTCCTTAGAAGGAGAACTATCTTTGCATAGATTGTGTCACTGAATCTGCATATTTGTATCACTTTGTGCCTCTGAAATGTTGAATCTGAATAAATCTCATCATCTGGGAGTCTGTGTTACACTGATCCCACGACTTTGAACGGCTTAGCCTCTCGTAACCTCCACAAATGACTGTTTCCTGCTGATGGAGGCCTAGGAGAACAACACTTCATTTAGTTGAGGCTTGGCTTTTGAAATATGACCTGAGTAGAGGTAGAAAATCCTCCAAAGGGAGACTTTGATTACAGAGGGAGAGAAGGAAAGTAAAACAGAAGGCGCAGGTTGGAAGGAAACTCAGAGTGCAAAGCGGGGAGAGAAAACATCTGATAAAATGTAATTTGAAAGTAAAAGAGGGACGATGCCATGAAGTCACAAAGGCAATCACAGCAATACTTAACATGACTACATTTCTAATTAGATAGCACCAGAATAGGAGAAATATATTTTTTACTCTCCCCACTAATAGACTAACTTACATGTATTATTGATGGATATTTTAACATCCAAGAATCAGCTCAAGCAGCTAACTCTCAGGACTACAAGGACTACAAGACAAGTAAGTACACAACTCAACAAAAATATACAACATAGGTCTAGTGTTTATAGACATTTTCATGTAGAAATGTTATATATTTTTATATTTAAAATATTTAATATTTTTAATATTGTGAAAAAATTCTAGTTTTTATTTTCATAACTTCTCTTCAGAACTTGCAGACATGAGCTTCAAGTTTCTAAGAGATTCTAAAAATGTATCATCAGAATAACAGCAGAATTTCCAGCTCGCAATGTGAAAGAAAAGATCTGACAGTTTGATATTCTAAGTAATGTTCTTAAGTTCAGTTCACTTGACTTACAATTAGCATTTTTAAAACTCATGAAATAAGAATATGATTATTCAGCCTTAGTTTAGTTAATTCACATTTTCAGCAGGGGAACTTACATGTTTAAGTTGAACCAACTTCAAATGATTAAAATGACAGCGCTGTTAAACAAAACTATTTTAAATTGGACAGAAAGCATTGTGTTCTTCAATCACTCAGACCGAGAAAAGAGGTTTTCAGTGCCTTTTACTCCTCATATCCATATCTCACTATTGGCACATAGAGCCCAATCAGCCCATATTTGCATTTCTGGATGATGCTCATGAACAGAATATGCGTCTTCATGTGTCCTATAGGGAAATCTTTGATGTACTTCCACTCCCTTTACCTCCATTAACATTTAAGGATGCTATATTCCCTGATTAGGAGAGTATAAATTCCCAACATCACCTGCTCTTTGTCAGCTTTGCAGTGGATGTGAACATAGAAAGAGAAGAGAAGATGAGAGCGGAGGGGAAAATTAGAGAACGAGAGCATCACTCACCCTCACAAACTCTGGCCTCTAAGCTTAAAAGAAAGAGCGATCTTGGAGGAATTGTGACTGATGAAGCAGCAGTCGACTCTGTTCCCCAAAAGCCATAATAAACTGGGCTGACTAATATGTGGATTTAGAAGGACTTTTGAGACATGCAGCGGATTTATCCTGATTTATGCTGAGTGTGAAATCAACAAGCTTTTAAGCCATGAGAAGCCCTTTTCTGTTTTCTCTCTGAAGGAGTCTTAGCTTGACATTAGTTTTACCCTCGCTGTGAAAGTCTTACTTCTCATCAACTTTAAATTGAAGCTGTCACTGTAATAGGGAGAATTTCCTGGCAACACCAGGAGCTGCTACCGCCTCTACTTAATATCTATGTGCAATATGGTTAACACAGCGAGTGAAAGATGCCCTAGGTGAAATTCTTTTTAAAAGGAATTGTACAATTAAACGAGATGCTAATTCCTTTGGATTTGGTAAATTTGAATAAATTGGAGGGTTTTCTTTGAGACACAGCTTGGATTTTTGGCCGGGCATTCTACACAGTTTGTCTGGAAAGCTAAGTCAACACTGATTTTTCAATTAATTGTGCTGCTCTAGTGCTGTGCTGCGCCCGCGATCTTGTCATAGTTCATGGGGATTAGTAAACCAATCTGATAAACGTCCATAATAAAAGGGGAAAGCTTATTGATGGCTGGTAATGAACAGTGAACTGTTGGGCCTTTTATTGGAGATGTTTGAAAAGCTATCTGCTTTACTATGCTAGATCTTTGTAGCTGTACAACTCATTTTAAATAGTTTGCATTTTGATATACAGTATACATTTTTGCCATTTTGTGATTTTCAAGTTGACAAAAGACAAATAAATTTCAATATAGAGTAACTTCATGATGTCTTCAATCACCTTTAAGGTGACTAAATAGGTAAAGAAATTAAAGGAATTGCAATTACAGTACTGGAAAAACCATTATAGAGGTACTCCACCATAAAAAGTTTTCTTTTTTGAGCTGTAAACTCAATTATATGATTATACTGTGATAAAACATCACAGTACAATGCTGGTATTAAAACAATCTGCATTTCGTGGGTTGAAAATGGCTCATCACCCTTAGACCTCCGAAACCAAATGCTGAGATTGAGTCGAAAATTTGAGGCAACATTTATATTAAAAACAGTGTTAATGCCCTCTAACCAGACGAGGACGGCCTACCCTCTGTGTGGGATTCTGTGAAACCGCTGCACTCATTTTCAAATGTATTCTGATCAAGACGCATCATTCACAGGAGTTTATACTACTTTTTGCTGACCCTTTACTAGATGTTTTTCTATTCTGGCGCAGTGGTTCGGACTTATGCTTTAGATGGCTTAAATGTATTGCAATGTTTACCTTGATCTCACACACTGACAGACCCACACAGACACACACATACCCGAGAGTGAGACTCTCTGAGCCACTGGCTCAGCTACAACACAGGTAGCACACAGAAACTTTTACAAACGACCCTCAAAGTGTTTCGAGTGGCAAATGCTCCAGCAGTCTTTGTGTTTCCAGCGCGGACAGAGAGAGAGTCTGACAGCAGCTGCTATTTAGGTCTGACTAACAGCTCGCTGTTTTTGCTACACTGCTGTGGTCTGTCAATCACGCTGGTTGGTATCGAGGCCAATCCTCCTAAAGCCACTCTCCTTAAAGTTGCTGCAAGGAAGGGAGCTAGCGGAACTTTTTGCACAATCCCACATCCGTATTATTCTGCCTGCTGTTTACTAGGACTAACATTATCAGTGTACCAATGTTGGTCTTTTTTGGTAACAAAAATTAGATTGTCTGTAGAAACAAATTTTATCCTGCACACTAGCACACATTTATTTTAAAGAAGATGAACTACATGCTGCTTCAGGGGCTTTTTTACTGTATTTTTATTTGTTTTTTGCCTGTAAATTGTAAAAATTTAACAAACTAAATCAACACCTTCTTGGCTGAGGATGAACATCAGCACATAACATCAATTATCAGCAAATTACATACAAAATGATTCATTTAAAGGGACGTTATTGTTGTAATAGTACCATTTTCTTCATTTTGAAATGTCACAGCAGGAAACAGGTGTAAATAATACAATGAATGAACTTTTTGCTGCTTCAGTTCAGGGTCCTGGTATTGTACATCATTGTCATGCTGTCATGGCTCACTGGAACACTTGAACATCATTGTCATTGTTAATGTTAACACCTGAGCTTCTACTGTGACACATCTGTACTCGTTCTGTTTTGACTATATAGTTGCAGACTCACTTCCATCCTATCACTGATAAATAAATTAAACTCCTGTTTATTTTTTTACATAACACATACAGCTGTTGGTATAGTTTTATTACAGGTCACTCACCCCTATACTGTCTTCCTGTCGATACTGTTTCCAGTTGTGTCCTGTGTCGCTGAACATCAGGAGGTAGGCCGTCTGCCAATCAGAGCTCCCATAGCGGCCTTGAGTAGCAACGGCAGTGATTTGTGTCCGCTCCCCCAGGTCAACCTCCAACCACTGATACTTGTCTGAACTCAAAGGAGACCACCCTCCAGCTCCTGGAGGAGAGATAAATACCCTTTTATCATCCGAAGAATAAACTTCTGACTTTTCTCAACTTAAAAACATATTTGGTTGATTTAGAATTCAGAATCAACACTGATGACATTAATTTTAGGACACTTTCTCAAGAACGTTTAGTTAAGCGTAAGGGAAAATCAAAGGGTAATAAAATTAATTAAAACATATTAACCAAGGAAAGATCTACACTGCATTAACAAGAAGAAAAAGGTTTAAACTTGTTTCTTAAAAGACAAATCTTACTAAACTTATTTTATCAAACACAAAGATAGTTTAAAAGCCCTGAGCACAAATGCTTAATCAACTAATTTCTTTGATGTTTAATTTGGAACAGTCCAAGAGTTTAATCCGCAGCTTAAGGACTGTTCGGTGCATATTACAAGCATATTACGGTGTTGAGCCATTTATGGTCAACACCACAAGCCTTATACAGTATTAAAGCGGCTAGTTTATAGCAGACCTTCATATAATACCAGGGCAGAGGACCAAAAGATGAAGACACATTAAATAATTCAAATGCCAAGAGGTGTGTGTGTTCATGTGCAGAAGTAAAAGTGCTGAGTCATACCAAAGTGACATTTTGCTTCCAGAACATCATATGGACAGATTTCACACAAGCGTTAGTACTTCTACTTTTGTGAGGACCCTCAAGACGCAATGCATTTCTGAGACCCTAAGCCCTTTCCCTCAGGTAGATCAAATTCAAAATTTACCCCTTTACCTGGCCTCTTTTATTGTTTGCTGTCACTTACTTCAACCATGACTTGGGGACCATTAATGGTGCTAATTGTATGAAGGAACGCTTTTACCAGTGAGTCCCCATTTTGTTTGTGTCATGCATTAGGACACACATGCATGCACAGTGTAGTATTTAGGGTGTACAATTCACATCCTGGCTTTGCTTACACACTATTTTTGGCAGACATGGAAACAAGGAAACATTTGAAATATTTGTTTAAAAAAAAGGAAAGGAAATGCACCCTTACTTTGGTAAAAATCACTGAATGTGAACATAAATTTTGTTATTTACAAGAGACCTCTACAGGGAATTTTTAACAATCTCCTTTTTGAAGATTCAGCATCTTCTGAGTATCTTATACTCTTATTTAAACCAATGGTGTGCCCATCATTAGCCGTTTGTTTGTCCCTTTGTTAACCATTTCTACTTGAATACCTAACACCTACCATCCTATCCCTGGAGCTCCTCACCTCCACCATTTCATCCAGTGTGTGTAACATTAGGGCTGCCATAATCACCTTAAAACACTTATGTGTTGTTATAATACCAATAAATCAAAAACAGCCCATAATTTACAAGGAACAAATATATGTTTTTAGTTTAAAAGACTTAAAAGTGACTACATTTCCTTTCATAGTGAGTGCTTGAGACTGTATAACTGTATTGATGTCTGTAACAAAGGAGATAACTTTTGAGTCTGGGCTCTC